GTATCGCAGCCACAACGATGGTTTGTACGGAGCTGAGTCAAGAGCTAGTTTTTCAAAATGCTCCATGAAGATGTTGCTAACGATGGGTGAGAGAGAATTTCCCATAGCCATGCCATCTTTCTGTTGGAAGAACTTGTCGTCAACCTGAAAATAGGTGGTTTTCAAACAGACTTCCTTCACCTGAGGACGGAAACAGATCCAGTTTCCGAAACATCGTGTTTTTATTTGTTATCTTAAAAACCAGGACGATGGATAAAGTCCAAAAACCCAACATATCAGTGTGTTATACACCATCGTCAGAATCCTATAGTAACTACTTATAAACCCTTCTGCATCCCATAAGACTGTGCCCATCACCTTCGCAGCTGATAGCACTGTTTTTGCCTTCTTTTTTGATGGAGAATGCAAATGGTGCCATTCCATACTCTGCCGTTTCATTTCAGGCTCGAAATGGTGAAACCAGCTTTCGTCACCTGTCGCAATACAGAGCAAATAATCATCGCCTTCGTGTCGACATCTCTGCAGCAGTTCTGAGGTGATGGCTTTTCGCTGACCTTTGTGGTCTACGATCAATAACCGTGGGACCCAACAAGCACAAACTTTCCTACAGCCCAAGCTTTCAATCATCTCCTGTACTGCACTGTGCCATATTCCAAGTTTTTGGGCTATTGTGTCCACAGTCACACGCCTGTCATCTTGAATGATCTCATCCACTCTTTCCTTGTTGCATTCAGTTGAGGCTGTTCGAGGACGGCAGTTCCAAGGCTCATCTTCGATGCTGGTGTTCCCATCTTTAAAATGTTTCACCCATCTTCGAACACTGTTCGCACCCATGCACACACTTCCATAAGCACGCTGAAGTCTCTGGTGAATTTCTGCAGCAGGGATTTCCTTTTTCACAAGAAATTCGATGATAGCACACTAGCGAAATGACATATCATCGTCGGGCATTTTGTTAGGAGTGATACTGGTCACATGATGCAAGCTATTGACGTCACAAGACACTCAAGGTTAACACAACAGCTGGTTCCACCTACCACCGTACTAGCTTTAGTCTGCTGTTCCCTGGCTGCATGCAAAAAAAAGTTGCTCATGACTTTCAGTACGGCTTACGTATAATAATTCTAGACTTAAAGATGTTGATAATGCCAATTTTTTAGGTATGTATTTAGATTGTCAACTTAATTTGAAAAAACAATCTGAAAAATTATTAAAGAAACTGAATACAGCATGTTTTGTGCTCAGGAAATTACAATCCCTTGCCAGTGAACAAGCTCTCTGAATGGTCTATTTTTCTTATTATCAGTCTCAGCTTGAATACAGTATTATATTCTGGGGTTCTTCTCTAGTTATGAAAAGTTTATTTGTTGCCCAAAAAAGAGCAATTAGGGTTATGCTGAGTTTGAGTCCTGGAAACTCGTGTAGAGGTTATAAGAGGTTGGGTATTTTGATGGTTCCTAGCCTATATATCTATTCTATATTGATGTTTGTTGTTAGGAAACACAATTTTTTTCAAACCAACAATAATATTCAACATATAAACACTAGACAGTTTGGGAAGCTATATGTGTCATCAGTGAGATTATCTTCAATCCAGAGAGGCATGTTACATTCATCCATTATGGTTTATAATAATCTTCCTCAAAATATACAAAGGATGAGTGATAATGTGAAGATTTTTAAACATACACTGAAAAGTTTCCTCACAACAAATGCTTTTTATTCAATAGATGAATACATTTCTGCTAAGCATGTATAACATTTAATAACTATATTCCTTGTAATTTTGTTTATGAATGACAATGTAAATTATGGTTATTTGGTGCTTTTGGTTGTGTGTGGTTGTTTGCTGTTGATACGATTGTATTTCTGCAATCAAGTCTTATTTTGACGAGTTCAATATGCGGTCCAATTCGGACAACGGATCAGTGAATTTATGAATTATGTATGTATATAAGTACAGTTTACAACACAAATAAATGGTTCTTACATCTCACCTTCTCTAACTTTCCTGTTGAAAGTGGCAGCCAGGGTAGTGATGATTTTGGTGCGTATTACTGTCACGCCACCTAATGCTGCAGCTCTCTCTGCTTTCAAAATTCTCTGCACAGCATCAGCCATCATCTTTAACATCACCTCATTTTCTAAAGGTCGTGTGATCTCAGAAAGTTTCAATGTTTTCATGCGTTGTTTCACAGCCTGCAATTCCAGAATAATTTATAATACTCCACACAACCAGTTCTGATAAGGGTTCATGAAGAGCAGAAGATATTTCTGGAAGCTTCTTCATAAGCTCTGTTGTGTACTTTCTGGAGGTCCTCAATGGATTAAAAATATGTTCCTTCAGTGAACATCTTAACTTATTATCTTAGGAAAGAAGAAAAAGTCACACAGAGAAAAATATGGTGAGTGAGGGGTGTGATCGATTACTTGAACTTACTTTTTGGACAGAAACTGCAAAACAGACAGCACTTTCTTTCCACATCAGTTTTCACTGTTACTGACAACCAGTTCATTTCCTATCTTGTCATCTGCCTTCTAAAAACCTTTTATGCCATTCAGAAATATATATCCTCAATAGAAGTCTTCACACTACACCTCACATAACAGCTGGTAGATAAGTTGACAGATTTATTCAGTTTTGTTAAGAATATGCTGTTCAATTTTTACACCTAACACACTTACAATGTGCAGACATAACACCTTACATAAAGCCACATAACTCAACACTAACCAGGCATAGAATTACTGACATTTTGGACACTATCCATAGTCCATGGAGTAGCTATATCGATTGAGCCCAACTGAGTAGGCATTTTACCTGAGGATGGAAGTAGAACTGTCTCTGAAACGTTATTGTAAATAAAAACCAGCAGGATAGATAATGTCCAAAAATTCAGTAACTGTATTAGTACACCAGTGTCACAAATTTATAAATCTTACTGAGCTGGTTAAAATGCACTTCAACACACCATTAGGAGAAGGTTCAGTCTGTGTTTTGTTTGCAGATGGGGTAATCACTTTAAAAGCTGTTAGTGCAGTCTTATTAACAGCCACATCTCATGTACATTCATAGCTCATTTAATGAAGATGTACATAGTTCAGCCTGTGTGTCATTAAATGATGGGATGATTTGTGAATGAACTGAAAAGGATCTTGAAGGAAGCAGTGCTGGCCTAATTTGAGGTACCATACCAGCATCTTCCTGGTTGGAATGAGGTATAGTATAGTTGGGCTCTGTGTCAAGATTCAAGCAGTGTAATGAAGCAACTGATGATGATTACATCATCAGATTCTTAATTACACTGCTAGCAAACAGCAAACCACCTAAAAAAGGCAAGCACCATTAAATGTACACAAAACTACAAACTAAAACAAAACAGTTAAAAGAAGAAGTTAATAATAGAATAAAGTAAACAGGATTAAGAAAAGAAAGTGTCCTTAGGGGAAATAATATCACCACTGAGATGGGTGCAATTTAGATTTAAAAGAAAAGGAAACTGATCATATGGCATAATGCATCTGTTCTTGTGATCTGACTTTATAACCAAGCATATTGCATGTGAGCATGGATGCATCTTCTGTGGTGTAATTATACAAATAAACCATCCATTTTGTCTAGTAGCACACATGTTTATTTACTTTATTCAGTTTTTGCATCTCCAGTGCAGAATGTGATGACTGAAGCAACAGTGAACAGGAGGGAAGGGGAACAATGGTCTGTCCTAGGTAGGCCAAATTTTCTTTGACCTAACAACGTTTCTAGTAATGATTGCATATTGAATTCTAAAACATATACAAAAACATTCCATAAAAATGGCATACAAGAAGCACAACACTAAAAACATACCTTCAGAGAGCCACCAGATGGTAATAGTGTTGCAGCCTTTAAGCGACCCTCTTTCTCCTTTTCCATTAAACCACTTACAACAGTGGATATGGAGCTCTTGGTTGAGCTAGGCATTTCATCATCGTCATCATCAAGAGATGCAGCCTGATGCAGAAATCATATGAATTAATGATATAGGAACGTTAGTTTTAAGAGCTATGGTTTTTCATATATTTGCAAGAGTGGGTGAACTTATGATATCATTGTCTGTTCTCTATAAGAACCATGGTAGGAAACAGGAAAGTTACATTTTTATATATACACCACATCATCTCATAATATTTTAATTCTTTTCAGTTCAGGGTAAATGCTAATGAATTTGGGCAGCAAGATAATCAGTCATACTGCTATTACATGCTGTGCTGGAGACAGTGCACTTCACTGTGAACATCATGTGTAAGAGATGTACCTTCGGAATTACTTGCAGCTTCTTGGCCTGTCTTGCTCCTGGTCCAAGTCCAACTGCAGTAAGTTGGGTGGCTATGAGCCGAGCCACGTGCCTGATCTGACCCTGGGTTCCAGCTGCTGCTATAGGAGTGTACATGGCACTGAAGTTTGGTGGCATAGAATCAGGAAGTTTTGCCTAAAAACAAAGGCAACATTTAGGCTCTTCAACATACTCAATTACTGTAACAGGTTTAAACAAAACAAATTTACCTTGAAAGCACACATTATGTACACATCAAATAAGGAACAACTCATACATTACCCAGTATAGCAAAATATTGTTATGAGCCAGTGAGCCACTACAATTCACTCAGTACAGTGACAGGTTACATGCTGGATGGCCAGGATTTCATTCACAGCAAGAACAACAGATTTTGCTCTTCTCCATACTGTCCAAGTTGGCTGTGAGGCCCACACAACCCCCTGTTCACTGTGTACAGATGTGAAACTGACCACTCACCTCAATCTACTGCCAAGGTCAAGAATGGTGGAGCTATACCTCCAGCCCCTCATACACCTTCACGGTAACTTCAGTTACTATGAGCACTGTAGACGTTCACTGGTGAAAATATTCATCCAAAATACACTCTTCTAATATGCTAATATGTACAATTAATAATTTCAGCAAACACAAAGTACCAAATTTATAATAATTGCTATACCTGACAGCATATGACATCTATCAATATTTTATATGAACTTCTTAGTTAAAAAAACATTTGGAGTGGAAATTTTTGTTAAATTTGAAGCTTTTATGTAGTTTTAATAGAGACTGTCCAAAATGAAAACAGCCAATAATCAAACTGAACAACTTCACTCCCAAGAAAGATACCTGCAATCTATTTTAGGTGAGTTATGGAAAAACTCACCAGTCACATCAGAAAGTCTCAATATGTGTCCCCCATGCAGTGTGGCAGACATCCAACCAATATTCTATCTCTGTTCATGTGTTTCTCAACATCTCCAACATTACTGACTCCACTGTCAGTAGAGAAGCAGAGTAACTTCACTTGCATGTGGTTCGTGATGAAAAGTGTAAGAACAAACCAAGTACCATGTTTCTGACAGATGGTTACACTGCTGTGCATGTATAGAACTATTTCTTGGTTTGTGCAAAATGGTATCACACACCAGAATTTAAGATTTCCATGACTGATCAGTATAGTTTTGTTAGAAGTTCAGCCACAATTAACCAGACACATAACTGCCAACTGGAAACAGCAACTGCTACAAGGGAGTTTCATGCAACATTGTGCAGGCAGTATACTGAGGATGACACCTGAACAAGTCAGAGCCATTCAGGAAGCTTCCCGACTAAGTACAAAGAAATCTACTCAGTGACTGAACTACCAGTTATATACATATATATATCATCATCTCTGTCTATTAACATGCTGTCACGTCTGCATCAAACATACTTGAAATGTAGAACTGTTAACAAATTGTAAAATGTAGTCCTACAATAAGTACCCAAACCCGTGTCTTCGCTGACTGCTACCAAAACCTTAACAATCGTAGGCAACTCATTGCGAAAGAAAAAATCATGAACTTTTCTTCTTATTGCATTCCTCTCAAATTTGTCTACACTTTCCGAAAACTGTTTACGACGCTTCACCTACTTGAGTGACTTCAGAATGTGAGTGATCTTATATTCCCTAATCACACGATATATGGAAGAGTCGCTGACTCCTGTAGAATATGCTTTCTTAACGATGTTGGCTATTAAAATGTTCGGATTTAATTGTAATTCCGTTTTATACACATTGAGGATCATTATGTTTTTTCTGATGAGCTTAATGATTTCCTTTTTGGTCGCTTCTTAGGAGGACTCAAAATCTTCATATCTTTTTCGCTCGCAGTCTCCGTAGTGGACATCGTGCACTTACTCGCAGCAAGCCAGCACTTACAGGAACAAGAAATATAAGTTTCAAAAACACTGTTCAATCTGAATGCAGGCTAACGTGCGTCCGAATGCAGTGAGTACACTGAAGTAACTGCACACTTTGTCCACTCCTTGCTGTCAGCTGTGGCGATGAGGGGCTTGCTTTGTTTATGCTAACTGTCTGGTCTCCGCGAATGGACTATAACAACAAAACATTTGATGTGTACCTACACTTTCACCTCAAAGAGATTACATGTATCTTCATTGGAACTGAAGTTATTCAGTTTCTTTATTGACTGTGTTTATTTCATACACCTTTCTATATGCTATTATCTACCAATAATTTTTGCAGCAGGAATGGAAGCTGGTATTTCTTGGGTTATAAAGCTCCAAAATAATAGTAAGTACTGTTATAAAGTATATTTAAAAATAGCAAAAGTGTGCCATGGCAAAGTTCAATGATCTATTGAGGAAGAAATGTGATACTCAGCATTTGTATTTTACATTTAATATTGCATTAAAGAAACTTGTATTGGAAAACATTTTCAGATTGGATAAAAGTATTATTCATTCTAAAATTATAGTATATACAGCTGTAAGAGTGCATGTGAATTAATGAGTTAAAGCATCTATACTCAGTAACAGAGGAGTATGACATAATAAATTGGTACCACTGTGCATCATAACCAGTGTCCTTCACAAAGAATGGTGCTGGTATTAAAGATGGGGGACTTTTTAAAAACAAAAACAAATTGCAGCATATGTGAATTTAATAAAAGTCTGGGATGTTAATTAAAATGAACGTTTTTCGTTATTTGAACCTACATTACACCATTCTTTTATTACAGTTAAACTCTCATTCTTGGCTCCCACATTTATATGATTTCTTTCAGTGAAAGATGAAGCTCTATGCTGCTAATATATTATTTTCCAAAATTTAGTTTCCTCAATACAAGGATTTTCTAACAGGTTATACGTCAGATTTTGATTCATACTGTAACGTGTTTTTGCCACAGAAGACGCCGTTTGGATTGTTAATTGGTTTATTTAACAACCCACAAGTCTTGGCTACAATTAATTATAACACTTATGGGTTTACACAATTTACAACCCTACACAATATTCTATTCACTCTATCTTCAGTAGTCTACACGTATTAATTACGCGGAGCTATATAAGTGTCACTGTATTACACACTCCCAATTACTTCTCAGTTATCACAAACTATCACTGATTATCACACACGCGTCCAGTTCTTCTTTCCGCGACTCCTGCTAGATTCCAACTGTGTCACTCCTGCTCACACACTGACTGACTGACTGCTGACTCCAACTGTCTTCGGCAGCCGCTACATTTCAACTGTCTTCGGCGGCTGCTACACTTTATCCTTTATGAGCCGAAGGACACCGTATGGGTATGCGCAGTCCACACGTGCATACAGTGTTTTAAAATCTAATTTTAAGATAGAAATTCTTGTTCTACTTACATTATTTTTGGACACCAGCTTTATAAGTAGACTGTCTTCCCTCCTGCATCATCTAACTGAATGTTGCATGTCACTGAATGCAGAGTCCGACGTCGCAATTCATGCACTTTGTCCGTAATTAACTCTGTTTTCCACATGAAGCACGCATATTCAATGTTAGTCTCGTATTAGCAGGAAGTAAGCCAGTGATGGCGAGTGGTGTCCTCTATTCATAACGCTTATAAAACATCACAATTTCAACTATGCACCATGGCCCCTTTTCGCATTGAAGAAGTCGAAATTGAGAGGCCGCTCGTAAATCACACCATTCAGAATGCGTTATAGTTTATTCTGAAGGGACGTGGAAGCAAGTGGTATGAGGTGATATTCCAAGAACTGCCTCTGCGTGGATAGCCCAACATACGTGAATAAAGAAACACGAGTTTCATAAGGTAATGTAGGATAAGAACTCTCCCACACTCGGGTATAAAGGAAGCCTACGTGACTGGAGAATGTGCAAGTGCATAAACATCCTCTCCTATTGCCAGATAAAAAACACAGACAGTGCATCAGCACCATGCATTTATACTGCAGAAACGCTCAAAATTGGGGAAAAATTTTTTTGGAAGCAATGTAACAATTTTTACAGATTCTAAAATCTGTAAATTACAGTATCTGATTCTATATACTTTCTAGATAAAAGTAGCGTTTATTTCGTTCGTTTATCACAAAAATTGTAGAAATCACAGCATTTTGAGTAACATGATTACAATTTTTATTACTCTACAATGGTGGACATTTAAATTAATTCCGTCCCGCTGCCACTATCGGAATTTAAATGGCCCATCAGATAAAGGTTAACTGACTTCGTAGGCAGTGTAGTTCTCTTATAAACCCTCAGCCGGACAACAGGAAAATGCCTTGCTTCCTTGTTGCCTAGTCGCGTGTTTGCAGGTGTTGCTGGGATTCGCTGCCAGGAGTTGTTTATGGCTACGTAGCAACTGCGCGTCCCGTGTTACATCACCGCGGGGAAAGGGGTGTTGACTGGCCTATTACCATAGAAAAGGCAATGCTCCGAAGGTCTTACGTCACCACTGGTGGGGGAAGGGGAAGGAGTGTTGACTTGCCTGTTAGCGTAGTAACAACAGTGCTCCGATGCTGCGACATCACCACTGGGGCAGGAGGGGGTGTCCTCCATAGCACAACACGTCACAATACTTACCTTTCAGACCTTGAATTAGCATTGAAGGGAAATTCTCTGTTCAAATATGACCGGCTCATGACCAGACCCAAGTTTAAGACCACAGCCTGCACTGCACGCCAGTAGCAAATGTTGTGCAGTGCTAACATTGCCTCTACCTAGTCTTTGCATGCACACCGCGTCATTCGGAAGAAGGTGCGATGTTCTCTGTGCTGACAATGTTGAAAGGTAAAGGTAAAGTTATCCCTGTATTTATTTATGTAATTAACCACTAAGCCTGATGGCATATGGGGGAGTGAAGCTATAGCCCCACCATTCCTGACCTTGACACTAGACGGAAGTGAGTGGTCAGCTTCACACCCTGACCAGTTTACTTCAAGGATACAGTCACAAGTACCCACGAGATGGGAGGCTGGGTGGGCCCCAAACCCAGTCAGGATACTGTGGAGTAGAGAAAAATTTCTTACTCCTGCAAAGAATTGAATCCCAGCTGATTAGCCTGTTGCCCGTTGCTATACTGAGTGAGCTACCCCGGCTCTGTCAACATTCAATGTGTTTTTGAAAATTTTATTTCTCTGAAGTTACTTT